ACAACAGATTTTATGTTTCCCCATACAAATGGCTCTAATTCCAAAGAGGAAGGATGAATTCAGAAGTTATATCTGAGACTGGTTTTAAATGAAGCAATAACTTGAAATCACTTTTTGGCCTCTAGTCAGAGTAATTAATTTGTGTAAATAAGCAAGATACCATTGAAAAGTGTTAAAAATAATTTGTTTTATGAAGTGGGGGTAAAAATATGCTTAATATTGCCTTGCTAGGGCACCTGTATTAATACTAATATCATTTCTCATTCAACTGACACAGCAGGTTGAAAGACGTAATGACAATAATAAAAATAGGAGTTTAAGTGTTCCTTAAACATAGCTGATTTAAAAACCACCTAATCCAAAGCTACCTTTTGAAAAAAGGACCCTACTCCATAGTTGTGTCCTGCACCAGTTCAAAAATCAACATATCTTTTATCCAAGAACTAACATTTTTAGAGGACTTGATTCAGTATTACTAAAAAATTATTTGTGAGATCAGCTCAACTGTTTTAGTTTTTTTTTCTGGAATTCCAGAATTAATGTTTAAACCCACTCTGGCCTCCCACCCAGAACTAGACGATCTCTAAGGCCCCTTCCAATGCTTTCATTTCATCAGTGAGGAAAGAGGAAGAAGCCTTTCTCCAAGTCAGCCAAGTGAAAAAAAAGACTCTATCTGAACATCAACAGCACACTCTGCTGGCCTTGAGTCTCTATTATACCAACCAAAAGTTGAAAGCCTGAACTTTCAAATGTTTTCTCTCAGTGAAAATACCCCGCTAACAAAAATTTGATATAAAACTAAACCCAAAAGTATGATTTTTATTTTATTAAGAACATGCTTTATTTTTAAAAAATGCTCAAAACAGACAAAAGAGCATTAATAAATTGTCCAGTTAAATGACAATATTTATTTTTAAAACACTAAGAGCCTATGCTGTGAGAAAGCATCAGAATCCTGCAGTATAACTGGCAGTATAAACTACTCTCCCACCTCAAATTCCTTTACATTATCTCCCCTTCTCTCTTTCTTGACTCTAATACACCTGAGGAAAAAGAGAAAGAGGCTGAGGAGTTTGTATTTTATCTAGAGGCAACAGAGAGTGGGGCAGCTAGATGGTACAGTGGATAGAGCTTGGAATCAGGAACACTCATCCTCCTGAGTTCAGATGTGGCCTTAAATACTTCCTAGCTGTATGACCCTGGACAAATCACTTAACCTTTTTTGCCTCAGTTTCCTCATGTGTAAAAGGAGCTGGAGAAGAAAATGGCAAACCACTCCAGTATCTTTGCCATGAAAACTCCAAATGGGGGCATAAAGAATCAGACATGACTGAAACAACAGTGACTAAAGATTCTTAAGCATGGAAGTGACATGGCTAATCCTATGATTTAGGAAGATTACATTGGCAACTATTTGGAGAATGTAAAGGGAGAAGAGTGGCAACACAGAGACCAATGAGGAGACTACTGAAAATTCTGAGTGAAAGGTGATGAGGAACTGTATTAGAATGATGGTCATGTGAGTGGATAGATGGCCACAGATGGAGAGAAAGGCAGAATGAGATATATATTTTTGAACATGGTCAATGCTGGATATGTTTTTGCCTAATTATGCACATTTGCTACAGAGTTTGTTTTTCTATTTTTTCCAGTGTGTGTGGGGGTAATGGGAAAGAAAAAATAAATGCTTGTTAATTAAACTAAAATGAAAAACAATTCTACTGGAAATCAGAGTAACTTTGTAGGGAGAAAAATGTCTTTTTAGGATATACAGGACATCTATGGCCTCCAGGATCAAATATTAACTCATCCATTTTACATTTAAATGTCCTTACAACTTTCCCAGTCTTCTAAAACTTCCTTCCTCACACTCATTATTATAAATATACTAGTCTACTCACTGTTCAACACATAGGACACTGCCTCCCACCTCCTCACTTTTCCACTATGGCTTTGCCTGAGCTTAGAATATACTCCTTCCCCATCTCTACCTCTTGGAACCCCTGTTTTCCCTAAAGACTCATCTCAAAACCATTCCCCAGTTGATAAATGATCAAAGGAAATAAACCAGTGATTTTCAGAGGAAATCCCAGCTACCAATATCCATATTTTTTAAATTCTCCAAATAACTAATAATTAAAGAAATGCAAATTGAGGTGAGTCTTAGGTTCCCCTTCACACCCAGAAAATTGGGAGAGTTGACAAAAAAAAAATGCCCAATGTTTGACGGGCTGGGAACACTGATGCACTGTTGATGATGCTATAAACTGGTCCAGCCATTCTGGAAAGCAATCTGGAACAGTGTTCCAAAAGATACTAAATTGTGCATTCCCTTTGATCCAACAATACCACTGACTAGACCTACACCCCAATAAGACAGAAGAAAAGAACCTATGTGTACAAAAATATGTAGAGCAGCTCTTTTTACAGTGGCAAAGAATTGGAAACTAAAGGGATACCTATCAATTGGGGAACGGCAAAATAAATTGTGGTATAAAAATGTAATGAAATACCATTGTTTTGTAAGACAAAACTGAGGGCATAGTTTCAGAAAAAATAGGAAGGATTTGTATGAACTGAGGGAGAGTGAAGTAAGCAGAACCAGGAGAACAATTTATACAATAAAAATAATGTTGTAAAAATAGACAATTCTGAAAGATTTAAGAACTCTATCAATGCAATGATCTACCACATTTCTAAAGCAAAGGTGTCAAAAGCCCAGCCCTGAAGGCCTACCATGCTCCCCAGAGCTACCAAAACCAGATTAAAATGTAAATAAGAAATATTCCAAAAAAAAAATACAATAGAGCACAGATAATGTTAATATGTGATTTTCTAAGCCAGCATGTGGTCCCCATATGTTCATGGTTCAGTGGCCTCTGTTTCTTTTTGAGTTTGACACCACTATCTTAGAGCAGTGGTGTCGAACTTGCAGGCAATATATCAACTTATAAAACTACAAATTAATCATACCTATGTTGTACTATATTTTTATTTATTTTGGTAAAATATTCCAATTACATTTTAATCTGGGCGCACTGGGGTTTTACTGAGGGCATGCAGAGAATGTGACACCTCTGTTCTAGAGGAGATGAAGAATATTACCCATCTCCTACCTGAGAAGTGATGGACTAATATGCAAATGAACCTGGCCAATATGGGGATTTATTTTGCCTGACTATGCTTACTTGTTACAAAAGTTTTATTTTGGGGTTTTTTTGGAGGGGGATGGGTGAAGGAGATGGGAGGAAAGATGGAAAAGAGAAAGAAATTTTATCATTGAAAAAAATTTAAGCTAAAAAATAGAAAAATAATCAGCTCAAATATTACCTTCTTCATGAAGCCTTCCTTTGTCTCTCCAGCTGCTAGGGCACCCCCTCCCCAAATCTACCTTTTTTCATTTAATATATTTACTTATTTGGACCCAAGTCCTCTTCCTCATTGGGATATAAATTCCTTCAGGACAGGAACTGTTTCACTTTTTTCTTTGTTTCACCTATACTTAGCACAAAGACTGGCATATAGTAAGTGCTCAATGCTTAATAAATGCTTGTTGACTAAATGATAGGTGAGCAAAGAACTAAATGGTTCTAAAAGAGCTGTTTTAATGAAATAAATGTAAATATATGTTTTACTAAAATAGCTATATTACTATATTATTTCTACTCTAGTTTCTGATACTTATTTTTACCATACCAAGGGACCAGCTTAATAGCAGCCTGGGGTTTAGCAACCTGAAGATTTAGGCTTTGCTATTGCCAATCTTCTCATTTATGATATCTGCCACATTTATGATATCATCATTTTCCTCTTTTTAATTAAAGACATGGATAAACAGGAAGAAATGTCTTATATTTCTTTCTTACCAAGCTTACCAAAGCACTTATTCAAAAGGGCAGATATTTATAATGCCACCTCACATTCATTCAAGTATATTTTTGCAGCGATTACATTTCACTTGTAACTATTATCTACTCTAGTCTGTTTGATACCAGGGAAAACTTTCAGATTTAAAATATGGATTACCTTACCAATCTAGGTATTGGCTTTCAATTGACTAAAACCAGGCTATTTTCTTTCTTTTTTTTCTTTTAACGGAAGTATTTATGAGATAATGAATAATGGGAGTTTTTTTAGTACTATGCAGCCAAGAAAGGAGAATGAACACTACAACTTTTCAAGACACCACATTTCAAATCTATGTTCCTTTTGTCACCATTCTGTAATCCAGTGAATTTATTACATAGCTGTTTAATTAACATATACACCATTTATGTCCCTGAACAAATAGAAATTTAGTGTCATCTGACTCACTGGGTTTAGCTGAGAGATTTAATTTGTTCAATAAATCTGCAACCTTAAGAGAAATGACCACATATCCACAGCTTTAACATTATGATGAGTAATAAATCATTCAACTTAGGAAAAATAATTATTTTTTTCTTAATAGGACTGTAGAGTCATAGTCCAGGGAAGAAACACAGTAACACTTTCTTTTCTAATCATACTACGAGAAAGAGTCACTCGTTATAATAATTTTACTATTAGATATGCTTATGACTTACTATGTAATCAACACACTCCATACTTTAAAGAGGAACTCAAGTCAAAACACAATTAACAACACTGTCCATCTGGTAAGGAACTGTCTAAAGAACAGTACATTTTATTCTACATGTACTTCAAAAGTTTTCCACATCTCAAATGGAAATCACCAAAAAACTGGAAAAAGTCTGCAATTGTGAGTGAGTCAACAAGGAGATAAATAAAGGCCTTTCCTATAACAAGTACTATTATATATACTAATATACATATTACATGTATAATATATATATTATACTAACCCTATGAAAAGGACTTACTCTTTCAGAACCCATTAATGGACACTGAGCTTATAGGAAACAGTTTAAATAAGACATTTCCTTATAACTTATGGAATTTGGAAATTCCATAAAATCTCTCCTTTAACTGAACATAAACACAGGAATTATAATACATACCTTTTGTGGAGAAGACATTATCTTTTTTCCCAGTGGAGAGTTTGGCTTCACAATCCTTTCTGGTGCAATTTTCATATCTAAATTCTGTATATCCTTCGCAAAGCAATGACGCTTTCTAACCTGCAAAAACACACCAATCCAGAAGCCAAAATAAACTGAAAATGCTTAAATGGGTCAGTTTTCAGAGCTCAGTAGAGTCCTATCAATAATTTCTATTCCAGGAAAAATGATAATGAATAACAGCTATTGATCAGAAGACAGGCCACACTTTTTCCCCCCAAGTCTGGCTTGTAAAAAATCTGAGTATGAGGTGTAATCTGTGTAATTCTTCAGTGAATACATAACATTTTCTTCTCTCCTTCTGAAGAGACCTCATTTCACAGATATCCTCTATATTCAGAGATGGCCCATATTCAAATATATATGGCATCTGTGACAAGCAAAAATGTATATATTCTTGCCAAACAAAATATATTACCACATGACCATAACATTTCTTTACTGAGTAAGATACAAAATAGTGGTTCATCTTGGACTAAATAAAAGAGGTCAGTTACTGATAATGGAAAAAAAATCGCATTGTAATATGGTACCACCAATAAAATAATCCCACAAGGACAGTGTTACAGCAAGGTCCTAGTGTACATAATAGAAATCAAACAACTTTGCAAAGTAAAGTTTAAAGCACTACCCCATTTTTTTCTCCAATTTTAATGAGAAAAAAACTTTTAAGGAATAGATTTGATTTTTTTTTTTAAATTTAAATAACTGCAACTTCTTATTAGAGGGAACTGAAATTAAAGTTGAAAGGACCATCACAGATTTCTGAAAACCATGGCTAACTTTGTTGTCTGCTGCTTTAATCCCCTCTTGAATCCTGTTTCTATTATCTGTGTGTCACAGCAGCAAGCCATGCCCCTTCCTATTTTCTGCACTGTTGCAGAAGTGAAGCAAGGGAGAAAAGGGAAGATGATGCTACAATGACACCCTTCCAGTACGTTACTAAGCAGTAAAGGAGAAAGTAGGGTCAATGTAGGTAGACGAGAAGTCAACATTTTATGATATGCCCAACCCCCATCCACATTTTCTCACAAATACAAAAAATAGTTCTTCATTTTCATTATTAATTCTATGCCTTGTACAAATTACATGTTAGAAATAAATTGGAAAAAGTAAAGAAGGTCTCATGACAACGATGAGCTATTTTGTTCAACTAACTTACATTTCACAAATTATTACTTCTTGAAAGTAAAATTTACATACAATAAAACTACATAAATTTGGACTCCAATAAATTAGAACATATGATAATTAGTGGATGGATTAGACCAGTTTACCTTTTCAGTGTTTTTTTTTTCTAAGAGTTTTGTTAAGCAAATTTATAGCATTAACAAAAACTCTAGGGAAGAATTTTTTTTAAACTAAAGAAAACAAACTGCTCACTTTCTGTAATAGCAATGACTTGGAAACAAGTAGATACTCATTGATTTAGGGCATAGCTAAACAAATTATGGTACATCAATGTAATGAAATGTTAATGTGATAGGTGATATGTGATTGTGATTAATACAGACACATGGAAAGATACACACGAACTGATGCAGAGTGAACAGAGCCAAACAACACACACAATGACTACACAATGTAAACAGAAAAAACCACAAAAAAATTAATGTTGCAAAAGATGTATTAAAAAAATTAGTATAGTTTAAAAGAAAAGATTCCAGGGGACACACCCCTTTATAGCAGTGGGAAGGTTCAGACATATTGCACACTGCATGTGTTTTCAGACTTTTTTAACACATCGATGACTTACGCTGATTTTTCTCTTTTTCTTTCTTTCTGCCTTAAAAAAAATACTATTTATAATGTGATGTGGCTCTCTGAAAAGGTGAGGGTGAACAACACTGGGGGAAATTATGGTAAGATATCATTAAGACTTAATTTTTTTTTATTTTGAATTGCTTTAGAAAGTCTCCTGTTTTTTATATATCAACAAATGACAAGCGGAGAGAATTATATATTAGAATGTGAACTCTCTGAGGGTAGAACTTTATTTTATCCCCAATATTAGCAAAAAGCCTTGTACATGGTAGGTGCTGTATGTTTCCTGATTTATATTAAATTTATTATAAATCATCTGAAGGCTTTATCCCTTAAAAAGGCAATTCCCTGAGAAACTCTATCAAGTAACACATAGCCCTACTCTATGTAAGGATCTATGTAATACAAGTGTGCTTCCTTTAAATATCTGGAAAATTCAGACCTTTCCCTGGCCCTCCTCAAAAATGGTCCAAGTTACTTTACTAAGGTTTTACCATAGGGAGTACCAAATGGTGGAAATAAAACTAATAAAATACACATACAAGCTATAATGTAAGCATTTATTTTTGCATCTGTTTCTTCTTAGAAAGGCTAAATACTTCTATCACACACCAATATTTAACTCAGCAATAATGCTAATCACAATATATTCCAATGTTCACAACAATAGCCAAGAAAATAATTCCATTTCTAGCTAAAAAAAAAAGTCAACAACAGATGAAGTTCAGGGCATATATCACCAATAGATGTATTTAAAAAACTGGTGTATAAGGCCCATTCTTCCGTTGGAATTCTTTTCCTTGATGGAACACTGGACTGCCATTATTAGTGAGCAGGCTCCGCAGACATAAAATGCATAAATTCCTCATGCACAACTATTCACGGTGCAATTTATCTTAGTGACATGTTATTATGAATAATCTGACACAACAATGGACTCTTTTGTAACAGTAAAAATGAAGCTAAAAGAAATAGTCTAATTTATGGCTGTGATATGACCCAACTAATCTCTCTGACTTCCACTGAAATGTTGATTGATTCTTGACAACCATGTTCAGCTATATCTGGATTATTTCACTGCCAATAAGCTTTGCTCACCTGCTGCTTGGTTTCTAAGGGACGAATCCTTTTCTTGTCTACTTGAAAATCATCCTTTCCATCGCTAAGCAAAGATGCCTGTTTCTTGGCAGATAATTTCGCAGCAAGTGTGATTTCTGGAGTAGAGTCTTCTGTAATGGGACATACAAACAATTAATTGACAAAAGCCTTTCTCAAATATAATTCAACTATATTACTGCACATTAAACCTTGGTTCCAACTCCATTGTTAAAAAAGATGCCTGTTCCTGGAAGATAACTGCACAGCCATTGTATTTTTTGGACTGCAATTTTCTATAATGGGACATTTAAACAAATAACTGCCCAAAGTCATTCACAAATACTGGCTGCTGGAATTTTCAAAATAAAATTTGCATCAAGATGCAACATACGATAGAATTTTTTTTTCTTTTTAGGCAATTGGAGTTAAGTGACTTGCCCAGGGTCACACACCTAGTAAGTGTCAAGTGTTTGGTCTGAGGCCAAATTTGAACTCAGGTCCTCCTGACTTCAGGGCCGGTGCTCTATCCACTGCACCACCCAGCTGCCCCTACAATAGAATATTTTTAAGATATTTTAGATGGAAAGATAAAATGTTTAAAGTCATTTATTTGATAATAAATTCAACAAGGATATTGAAGACACTGAGACATCCTTCAACACAAAGGCTGAACTAAGATATTTATAACCACTCTGGCTAACAGTTCTAACAGTCAAAGTGCTTTTTTAAAAAAATATTTAAAATATTTTATAATTTAGTTGAGTAACTTTAAACTACAACGGCAGAATGGTTTTATCTAATCGCTGTGGAGGAGAGGAGAAGGAATATGGTAGTGAGAATATATGTTGATATTTCAATGAGACCTATGAGTTCTTATTTGCAATTATAGCAAAAAGCAATACTTCCAGGAAAGATGGGCCAAAACAGACCGAGTAACTCATGACCCTGAGATGAGGAAGTGACTTGATCCCTGTGACTAGGGGACAAGGCAAAGGTATCCTTACCTATTGTTTCTCAACTTTAGTTGTCACCTGAGCTCAGCCAGGAAGACCCACAGAAATCATAGAATCTGGAGACAGAAGGGCCTCTAAGTCATCTAGCCCATATAATACTCAACCAGAAATCCACTCTATCACATCCCTGCCAAGTAAGGGGAAATCATTCTTCTGAAGCAGACCATTCTACTTTAAATAGCTCTGATTATTAAAAAGTTCAAATATCAAGCCAAAATCTAGAAACTCAAGCTCAGGATATAAGTGCAAGTTACTCATGGGGAAGTACAGAAACCTAGACTTAGGGAGGGCCTGGCCTATCTACCCGAATAGGTACTGCACCTCATGAAGAAAGTGGAAATGGAGGTTTGTATAACAAGGGCTAAACTAGCAAAAAGATTTTGCTCATATAATCTGCTTTAAAGAACAGAGAGACAGGCAAAGTAGAAAGGATGCCGCTTCTAAAGAGGCCAGAGCATACAGATCTCTAAGACAAGGTAAGGGAGTCACCAAGATTGGAAACCTGAAAGAAGTAGCTCTAGGGCTCAGATAGGAAAGAGTTATTTAATAGGCACATAGGGGAGAAGAATATGTTTTTAAAAAGCTTGGCTCATGGATTAAGGTTAAAGTGACCTAAAATGAAAGGGCGAGGGGGAACAGTAGGAAGGAAGTCTCTGCTACGGCCCTTGCTTGAAAACCTGGGAAGCAGATTCAGAGAGATGGGAAGGAGCATCTGACCAACTAATTCCATAGCAATGGATCAAGAACTGAGTTACTATCACAGCCCACAGTGAGCAAGAGCTTTAGGCAGGAGGGACAAATGCCCTACATCTGATAGATAACCAGGATTAAACTATAAGGACCTTTCTATACTGCACTGTTGAGCTTTTTCATCTGTCAATCCCCACACCCACTCCTACCTTGGATGTTCTCCCATAATGCTTCATAGCAAATTCCTTTCAAATACTTCAAAGAGAGTAATTGCTGCTATCAGAAACAGAAAAAGAGGTGGAGCAAAGGCCTCTGACCTTGTCCCTCAAAAGTGACCTAGGCTTTGGAGACCTCGGTAAGCAAGCAAAAGTGATTTTCATCTTTTGTTTTTCATGGGGTGATGTCTTGACTTGCATGTGAATTAGATTTAAGTGGGGCAAGGTTGCACAAAATCATCAGCCTCACTCTCTTTCAGTCATCGAAGACCAGTGGCAGCACCAAAGTCAGAACCACTGGCAATGGCCCGGGATGCAGTGGATGACCTTGGTGTCTCCCATGCCTGACCAAGCTCCACGCGCCTGCTTCAGCCACCTTCATGACTACTGAAACAAATCGTTCTCATCCCCCCATTCCACCTAACTTACCGATGGGTTTGAGGCCTGGCAGTTACCCTCTACCTGGTTTAGCCCATCTGCTGAGACAGTTTTACTTGGGCTGTGGCCACTGCACATGCTACAGCTTCTTGGAGCCACAGGTGAGAGTTAGGTGAAGGTGGACCCCAAAGATGGAGGATTCCTCACAGCACTGAAAAGGGCTCAGCAAGCCCTCACACCAGGGGTGCTGGTCCTCCCTACAGCAAGCAAAAGCAGCAACAGAACGAAGCCTGAATTGAGCATCAGGTAGTCAAGACCTGGTCTTGCCAGAAGAAATAAATAAGAGAGGGCTGAAACAAGTGGCCTGTTGTACAGTGCGGCACCACAACCACCAACATATCATATAAGAATTGTCACTGGAAGTTTCTCAGGGAACTCTTTTAAGTTTCTACTTGGAATCTTGGAGCGAAAGAGCTAAAAGTCATCAAAAGGCTGCTTGGTACAGTAGGAAAAGCTCTGACTCTAGAGTCAGGAACCTGTGTTCAAATCCTACCTCTCACACCTACTACCCCTGTGGCCTTGGGCAAGTCCTTGTATCTCCATGCCTCAGTTTCTTCATCTATAAAATGAGGGGCTGTATGAACTGGCCCCTGCGGTCCCTTCCAGCATTAGCTATATGATTCTACAGTACAAGTTCCTATCTGACACATGACCCTCTTCTTCACTACCAACAAAGGTTTATTCCAGACTCTATTTCAAAACCTCAGTTGACAGGAAATCCAGTACACCTCACAGGGCAGTGCATTCTATCTTTAAACAACTCAAATTATTAAGAAATTTCTTCTTACATTAAGTCAAAATCTGCCTTTATTTACTTTCAGTCTTTTGATCCTAGATTTGACTTTTGAAACCACACAAAGTAAGTCCTAATTTCTCTTCCACATGATAACCTTTCAAATACTGTAACTCGGCTAGCATGTTCCCTGCTGAATCTACTCTGTAGGCTAAGCAATTCAAGGTATTTCAACTAGTTCTTATGAGACACAATTTAGAGGTTCCATGCCTTCTTGGTCACCTTCTAGTGAAGGCCTTCCAAGTTGCCAGCTTTTAAAATGTGAGACCCAGAAGCAAAAACAATACTTCCCATGTGTACGGTATAAGGCTTAGATAAAAGGATTTATTCTGTAAAACTTGGACTCAGTAAAAAGACCACACTCAAGGACCTAGAAGGCCACATGTGGCCTCAAGGCCACAGGTTCCCCACTCCTGGGGGTAGTGGGGAAAAAAGCAGAGTACAATGGGTCTATTACCTCCTTGTCCTGGATACTATACATCTAACTAACACAGCCTAACATTGCACTACCTTTTTTTGATAGCCGTATTCCATTATTTGTCTTGCATTAAGCTTGCGGACAAAAAAACCCCAAAGTCTTTTTTTTACAAATATACATAAATATAGCCCTTTCCAGTATTTCCCGGATTCCTTCCAAGTAGGCTTTTCAATATCCATTTTACTAACATCCTAGTGTAAACAAACCCTCTGCAATCTCTTTTGCCCTCATTTCATAGAAAAGTCTCGCTTAAAAATCATCAATAACCTTCTAATTACCAAAGCCAAGCTGGCCTTTTTCTTGGGCCTTATTTTTCTTGATGCTATTATTATTTTCTTGACATTATTCACTACACTCCCTTTCTTGAAATGCTTTTCCTCCTTGGCTTCTCTGATACCTCCTCATAATAGTTCTCCCGCTTCTCTGACAGATCCTTCTGGCTCATTCATGTGCAATTTTTTTCTTCCTTCTTCTAAATCTGGGCCTTCCCTATGGTTCTGTCCTTAGTCCTCTTGCTCTTCCTTTTCTCTCAGCCTTCCTCCCTCATATACTTTCATGACTTATGAAACCAGATCTCAAATCTTTAATTCTCTGTCCCAAGCTTCAGTCCAGTTTTCCAACTACCTATGAACATTTCCACTTCTCATTATCATCTTCACCTATTTAAAACCAAATTCATCATTTTACCCGAAACAGGCTCTTCTTCCTGACTTCCCTATTCATCCCATCCACCAGGCCTCATCCTCTCCTTTCACATCGAGTCAGTTACTATGTCCAAGAAAATTCTTCCTTTATAACAACCCTCATATCCACTCCTTGCTTTCTATTCCCACTGTTGCCAGCCCAGAAAAGGAGTTCTTAATTGGGCTACTTGAATTTGTTTATTTGTTTTTACTATTTTGATAACTGTTGCAAAATAACTGGTTTCTTTATATGATTCTGCAAAGAAGACCATCGGTTTCAGCAGACTGACAAAAGGGCCAATAACAAAAAAAGGTTAAGAACCCCTATCCTACAAGGTGACGATACAATGAATAGAAGGATCACTGGCTTAGAAATCAGAAGGCCTGAGCTCTATAGCTGTGTAATCACAGCCAACTCACAGAATTAGAACCAAAGAATCACAGCTTGAAGCAGCTCTGAGATGTCAGATGACATTGGTACGTTTACCTAATCAGGAGTTCCACAAAATGCAACATCCCGGTCAAGTGTTCACTCAATTTTTAATCAAAGACCTCTCAACGATTAGGAGCCCACTAACTACTGAAGAAGGCTATTCCACTTCAGGACAGCTCTAATTGTTAAGAAGTACACGAACTGGGGACAGCTAGGCCTGGGCAAGTCACTTAACCCCACTGCCCAGCAAAAGAAAAAAAGAAGTATATGAAGTGAATTGAATTCTGCCTCTCTATAGCTTCTACCCTTTACAACTGGTTAACTTCTCTAAGGTCAAGCAAAATAAGTCTAATCCCACTTTCCTATGTCCTCCACATACCTAAAGGTTGCCATCATGTTGTTCACTCCAAATCTTCTCTTAGGCTAACATCCCTAGATCCTTCAATAAATTCTTACATGTCATGGTCTCCAGCTTTCTTACTACCCTGGTTTCCCTCCTCTAGACATATTTCAGATTGTTGTCAATATTCTTCTTAAAATACAGCATCCAGAACTGAACACAATTCTCCATGCGTAGTCTGTCCAGGACAGAGAACAGCAGGACCAGAGCAGAAATCAGATCCTGGAACTCCTCTAATATGGCTTAGGTTCACATTAGCCCTTTTGGCTTCCATATCATATTGCTGAATCATGCTGAGTCTGCAATCCACTAACATACGCAGATATTTTTCAACAGACAGAGCCAGCCACATTGGACATTCTGTCACAACCATCTGGGTCTCAGTTTTCTCATCTGTAAAAAGAAGGTGTTCCCAACTATTATGGTGGAAGCCCCTTAGGGGTAAGGCATAATGGGTGCCTAGAAAAGAGTTGTGGTTGAACTAGAAGGCAGGATTAGATTGTCAGTAATGATCAGTAACATGATCAGAGGAGTGATTTAAGACAAATTTAGTAGCAGGATACAGGATGGATTAGAGGGGTAGAAAATGGAAGCCAAGATTAGATAAAAGACAACTGCAAAATTCTCAGTGAGCTGTGAGTGCCTAAACAAGTGTAATAATAGCAGGAACAGAGAATAAGAGAAGGTGGTAATCATATTATGGAATTACAACTGACAAAATTTGAAGACTGATAAAATATGCAAAGGAAGAGACAAAGATGATACCAAGGTTTCAAGTCTAAGTAATAAGACTGATGATGTCATTAAAAGAAAGAAAGAAGTCAGAAAGACAAATAAATATGGGAGCCATGAGAGGAGTATGATTAGTTCAGTTTTGGACACGACTTGATAACAGGCTTTCAACCTGGTCCAGCAAGTAGTCTGAAATATAAGCATGAAGCCTGAGAGTTAAGTGCTAGATATAGAGGTTATTTCAAGGTCTCTTAACCTTCTATATGTCATGAATTCCTTTGGCAGTCTAGGGAAGCTTACCTACCCCTTCTCAGACTTATGTTTTAAATGTTTAAAGTAAAATATATTTTCCTTTTTGTTACAATTTTATTAATTACATTAAAATGCAGTTACTAAACTTTTTTTTCAAAACTTCATGGGCCCTCAGGTTAAGAACCCTGCTGGGGAATAAATGAGAGTGTCAAGGCCATAATCTTGGGAGAGAAGAGGAAAAAAACTGAGAATATTTGGGAAGCAAGAAAAGGAGACACTGATGAGGACAGAAAAGGAATGATGTTGGAGATGGGAAAAAGATGATATAACAAAGTGTCCTAAAAGCCAAGGAGTAAGAGAGTGAAATGTGGAGGATGACACTTGGGTTTTGAGCATGGGTAACTGGGAGGACAGCTGTGTCTTTGACAGTAAGTAATAGGGAAATTAGGAAAAGGGAAAGGTTTGGAGGGAAATATAATAAGTTCAATTTTGTATATGTTGAATTGGAGATGTCTATAGAACATCCACTTCAAGATGTCTAATAGGAAATTAGAGACGCAATACTGGAAGTCAGGAGAGTGGTTAGGGCTGGATAAATAGATCTAAGAATTATCTGAATAGAGATGATAACTGAATTCATGGGAGCTGATGTGATCATCGAGAGAAACAGTATTAAAGGAGAAGAGAAGGCGGCTACGGGAGACACCCACAGTTAAGCAGGAGCAACCTATATGAAGATCCAGCAAAGCGGCCTAAGAAGGGAGGAGAACCAAGAGAGATCAATGTCAGCAAAGCTAAGAGAAAACACAGTATCCTAGAGCAGAAAGCGATCAAGAGTGTCAAAGGCTATAAAGAAGTCAAGAATGATGAGGACTGTGAAAAGGTCACTAGATTTGGCAATTAAGAGATCATTGGTAAGAGGAAGAGAAATGGAAGCACCAATTATATATGGCCTTCTCAAGGTGTTCAGCCATGAAAGAGAAGAGATATAGGATGACAAACTGTGGGGATGTATGGAACAAGTGAGGGTTTTTTAAGGATGGAAGAGATGTGGACATGTTTGCAGGCAGTCTGGAAGCAGTGAGTAGAAAGGGAGAGAGTGAAGATTACTGAAGAATGGAGATAATAGAGGGGACAATCTGCTGAGGAAGACAAGATGGAATGGAATCACTTGTGCATGTAGATTGGCTAGCCTTGGCAAGGAGAAGAGTCATTTCTTCATGTGAAATGAGAGTAAATCAGAAGACAGTGGAGGAAGGCATCTAAGTGACAGAAGACAAGGAGCAGGGGAAAAGAGGGATCTCTTGGCTTTGTTCAGTATCACATGAATAAGAGTGAAGGCTGCAGATGGTGAGAGTAATAAAAGGTTGAGGACTGATGGGGAAGACTGGCAACTGGATAAGGGGGGAAAGGGACTTGAGAGAGGATGGTACAAAGTTGAACTAGTTCATCAAGGGGTCAAGATGAGAAAAGGGAAGAAAGTTTAAACAGTACAGAAGTAATGTCTGAGGGACTGGAGGTCATGGTAAAGATGAAGAACAGTATTAGAAGTTATAAGAAAGAGGAGAAAATGGAATAACAAAAAAATTATGACCAAAAGAATTTTAGAGTTCATAAATATGGAAGTAGAAAACTTATGGGAGATGGCAAGATCAAAGGATGACCATCTGTGTGTAGATGAGATGTGGAGGAGTAGGTCATGCGAAATGAATAAGTTGAGGTAGTGGGAGGTTAGGTTGTTTGAGGGAGTCTCTCTATATATACTGAGGTTCCCTGCTATGAGAGCAGGAATTGGGAAGGAGAGAAAGACTGTTGAAGAATGAGCTACTCATGGAAAATGGTGGCAGACAGCTACTTACCATGGCAGCACATGAACCCACAGCTGCCTTCCATGATCCCATTGTGAAGAATTCTCTCTTTCCCTTCCCTGCCACTCTAGAAGTTATTTGGACTTTTAAAAAGCAGTATTAGCTAAATGAAGTCCCCAAAATAGACACTAATGGTCTTAGACAAAAGGTTACCTTGGCAAGTTGAGATTTCATTTTTCATGGAAGATGTCACGATTGGACTGGTGAAAGAACATGAAGCTCCTTGGTTCACATTAATACTGATATCATTAGTGGGATCGTGCAAATGGCATATACAACAACATGGCAAGGGTACTTCAGTCTTTTTATTCAAGTTCTCCTCTCCTGGCTTTTCTAAAAATAAAAATAAGATTTGGATTTTAAAAAAACACATACCTGCCAATAATTCTACACATCAATGGGGAGAAGAAAAGAATTCACAAACAAACAAAACTTTCTGTAAAAAAAGGTCTGTTCTATTTACTAAAATCAATGCAATCCAATAAGTCAAGAGTTGGCACATGATCAGTTAAAATATGCAATCAGATTTCTCACTTATATGAAAATGAAAGCAAGAAAGATTTCAGCAAATATCTAAAAAAGGTGCTTTCTTAACTGATATTTCTACAACCAAATAAGAATGTGATTTTGATAGCAGCACCTAACTCATCTGTGAATGCTTGATAAAGATTAAATAATAATGTAAGCCACAGGAAGAGTAAAATCTTCCCCACACATTAAGGGCTTCCTTTTGCATAAAAGTTTTAATATGCTAGCATTTCAGATGTGGTATTCTGAACCACACTTTGGAATTTTCATTAATATATTATGTATTATAATCAGCAGTCATTTGAATCTTTGAAAAAAAAAACAGATCTCAGGTAAACCAAAACACATTTTAATCACTATTTAAATTCAATAAAGCCACTGACATTTTTATGCCTAAATACACCGCTTACAGATTATCTCCTCTGTGTGCTTGTAAGAGTAGACAAACGAATTGCTTCATCTCTGTATACCCAGTGGCTACCACTATATATTGCATATACTAAGAATTTAATAACTGTTTTCTAAATTTAGTTAAATGAGAAAACTTCAGCTCAGAGAGTTACTTGCCCAAAGTTACCAGTGAATGTGACAGAGCTAGGACTTGAGCCAAAATCTTCTAACTTTGATATGAGAAGAGACATTATCCATTCTTGAAACCAGTTTTCTAACGTTACCCATAGACTGTAAGTATTACTAAACTTTTTTCCCACTTTGGAATACTACAATCAGGAAGCTCAACTAGAATTATTTATTTATTGGAGTGGAGAGGATTTGGGATCATATACACACTTTACTTTTATGAGAAAGAGGCAGATTATAAATAAGCTGTTTGGGGACTTATTTCCAAAAAGCCATTTCCAGGGTGTGATATATATCTTAGGGTCAGTACTGATTCAATCCCCTATACCTTCTCTATCTATATTAGCATTCAGTGATAAATCGTCTTCATAATGGTAACTTGGAAGCACTGAAAGATACTGATATACCCTCTAAGTAATGAAAAAGATGATTTCAGTAGAAGTTTTCTGTCGGTACAATGATAATCTACATATGGCACATAATGCACATCACGTACATCTCATATGCTGTAACTTTTTGTAAACAAAAGTTAATCAGATCACCTGATTCCTAGATCATTCTAGATAAAAAGTAGTTTCTTATTCTTATTCCTTCAATACTTCCAAGGATCTACAATTTCATCCATATAGGTGTCCCCTTCTGCCAATAAAGACTACAACTCCTCCACACCCTACTACACCGCCCTTTGAGCTACTCTGGCCAAAAAAACATTCATCACCTGGTGGCCAATCCTCCAGTGATGAGCTTCTGAGGTTAGCTGAGCTGGTTTTCTAGTGAAAAAGAGACCACTGCTATGTTGGTATCTGAAGTTTTTCCAGCATGATGGCACTAGCTCTGAATTTAATGCTAATGTTTGAGAAACCGGGTCACCTCCGTGCCATACAGAATCCTAAGTGTAGGACTTTTGGAGAGGATCCTCATCATTATCATCAAGAATAATAATAATGATATTAATAATGACAACTCCCTTCCATAACCTTCTGTTTTATATCATATACATGAGGAACCTAAGGTTAAGGAACTTGCCCAAAGTCACAAGTAAATGTTAGAAGCACAACTTGTAGACAGGTCTTCTGAATCCAAGCACCACAACTGTTTCCACTCCAGCATTCTGCCTCTGTATTGTTATTCAGAAGCTGATAAGGAGACTGGAAAATATCTATAAGCTACTCACCACTGAGAGACTGCTGCCATGCCAAGGCAGAACAAAGTAAGGCTAAGCTTTTCCCACTTCCTGTGGGGCTCTCCAACAAACAGTGCTGCTTACTGTTTAATCCTCTAACAATCTACGGATACAAAAAAATGACATAATCAACTTATGTTAGCTCACCGGAACCTGCCTTCATCAAAAATGGGAATTGAACAGCAAGTAAGAAGTGAAGAACCAGGTGGGGAAGTCATGTGTGCAGTAGAAGAAGTCTGATCACCCTTTACCTTGCCAAAGGCTCTGAAGGATCTATGCTTATGCTTTGTATTGGAAGAGAAAGAATAAAAGTAATATTTGTTTGGCAAGGATATGCACTTTCACAAAACCATTTAGTCCCATAATACATAGATGGATGTGCTTCCAATAAAAACTAACAGCAAAAAATTATACTCTTTGTAATAAATTGCAGAGTAGATTGTTGAAAGCAGTATATTCCATAAAACAAACAGAAGCCCTTATTCAAAAAAAGCACTTTTAAGGTCCTAGAACTGGCACCATCACAGTTATAGCTTATGGGTGATCAAAATTGTTTTCCTCAATGATTAGTGCTTAGCACAGTGCCTGGCACACAGGAGGCACTTAAGAAATGTTTACTGTTTGACTGACTTTTTTTTCCATATTCTTCCTAATAATTTAGGGACCATTCTTGAGCTGATTATTTTCCATGTAGAACTGAAGCAGAATATTTTAACAGAATCCTCACGTGCAGTGTGTATTCTGAGTGTCTTTTAAGCTAATAACAATGTAAAGGGTCTTCTGGAAACCACTTACAGAATTCATCATAGCAAGCTGTGATGGGTAAGCTTTACAAGGGAAGTAAATCTTCACTCCACCAATAACGTATTCAGATAGTGTTGAAGACATTGTAATTCTTTTTTTGCTTGTTTCAGATTCCTTCCTGCAACACAAAATTTAAATATTAAAACACTAAAACAAAACCCCAAGACTTTAAAAGGCACTGACCTAAGCAAAAAGAAAAGATGGGAATTTCATAGCATCACAAAACGAAATCTCAGAACACTCATTTGACAGATGAGGAAATGAGGCCCAGAAAGGCTAAGTGATTTGCCCAGGGTCACACAGATATTAAGTGACAGGGCTGATATCTGAAACCAGGTTGTCTGACATCAAACCCAGCTCTCTATATACTCCACAATGCTGCCTCTCCAATTTGCTGGTCTGCCTCCACTGAAGTCCTGCTCCTTCACCTGATTCGGTAATGCTGGGTTCTTAAAAGGTAGATCACGCAAACTTTGCAATAACTGGCAAAGTGTTTTGTACAGAGTGGAAAAGAGAATGGCATGATAAAATTCAGAGAGCTTAATTGCCAAGTCAGCCTCAGAGTGCTGAATTTTTCAGGCTGAATTTTTCAGTAGAGTAATTCTCAAAGACCTCTGCCAAATCACAAAAAGGTGTCTTTAAGTTCCCTTCTAGCCCTAAAATGTATGAAACTCAGCTCCTGAAGATAGCCTCTGTTTTTGAAAACTTACTTTTCACCTTTTTCCTGGCACCTCTTCCAGAAGCAGTAATAGCAATGGGCAGCTGATGCCTATGGTCAAACAATATATTGCCTGCATGCAGCCAGAGAGGAGAATTCAAAGACACTGCTTCCTGAACCCCAACCTTCTGTGGAGAGGAGAGGGGATTCTGAATTCCCTAGACACCATGATCTTGGGCTCTAGCCTTCTATCAGGGAAAGGAGATTTCCAAGATAATGCCAGCCATGAGAGTTTCTCCATAAGTAACCCAAGTTCAATAGTTTCTGAGTTCCGAACACTGGATTGTTTTTTAGAGCAGGGGTTCTTAACCCGACATCTAAATTTTTTTTTCTTAAATATTTTGATAACTGTATTTCAACATAATAAGTTTCCTTTGGAATCCTATTTTATACACTTAAAAATCATAAGAGATATATAGGTATTCCCAGATTACCAGAGTCCATTCCAAAAAAAAAAAAGGTAAAGAATCTCTATTCTAGAGAAATGTCCTAAAGCACCCTACTCAGAGAAGATTCCTCACAAAGGATTATCACTGAGCCAAAAGGCAAAGGCAGTGGAGATTACAACATCTGACAATATCCAGCAGAATTGCACCAGAGCCCAGAGTCAGCAAGAACAGTACAGAGGTATTAGAGGCTCTGCACCACACCAATATCAGGCATATGAATTGATCCTCCTCACACAGCTCTGGCTACCAATTGCCTATGAGAACACCCCCCTTCCTCCTTCAGTTTGGCTGCACATTTTCCCTATGTGTGACTTCTATATGTCTACTCTCCCTACTTATGCTAGGTGTATTTATGGGAAAATGTGGACTAGTGACAGGTCTTTTGTTGCAACACTACACCATTTATGCAAGTGCATTTGCTTTTAACTTATTGTGTCACCTGGTTAAATACTAAAACGTAAACATAGTAGTAGGTATTCATGACTTATATAGTTTAAGGGGCGAGGATGGATTGAGTACCTTAAGACTGGGGTTGCTCCAGGGGAACCTAACCTACAAATTAGGCAGATTCTCTACTACTGAAAAGACTGAATCCTGGGAAATATTTCTTAAAGCACTACTTATATTATTTCAATGATGTTAGATTTTAGACAACGATGAAATACAAAATAATTAGCGTTAGAGTGTTTAAATATTGTTAGTTTTTTAAAAAAGGATCAATAAATTCAATGAAAATCTTTGTTCTTTTTAATTAATATATAGAATTCTTTTACTCTTCCATATTACTACAGCAATATCCTTGTCTCCCAGTATATACTGTCTCCCCCAACAGAATATAAGTTCTTTGAGGAACTATTTCATTTTAGATTTGTATCCCCAAGCCTACTATAGAGCCTGGGATATGGTAGGTGCTTAATAAATGTTTACTGATTAATAAACACAAGCTGATCCTCAAGTCTTCTCTGTCTCACTTCTCCCCCCCCCACCCCACTTCCACTCTGCTGCCAACACCTGTCAATTTTACCTCTTTAATATATGCCTCCTTCTCTCCTCTGATACTATCCATTGCCCTGGTGCAAGACCTCATCACCACAGGCCTGGGCTATTGCAAAAACCTGCTGGTTGGTCTACCAGCCACAAACCTCTCCATGTCAGTCTATCCCTCCATTCAGATGTCAAAGTGAACCCTAAAGCATAGGTCTGACCATGTAAGCCCCACTACCCTACTCTATAATAAACTGTTGTGGCTTCCTTTCACCAACAGGATCAAATATAAAATCCTCTTTTTGGTGTTTAAAGACCTTTATAACTTGCCTCTTCTTCACCTTTCCAGAATTTATATGACTCCCCCAACAGGTACTCAGTGATACTGACCTCCTTGCTGTCTTCCAAAAGAAATTCCATCTCTCATCTCCAGGCATTTTCCCCCTGCCTAGAATGCCCTTCTTCCTTAACTCAACCTACTGTCTTCAAGTTCTTCTAGCTTCCTTCAAGTTCCAGCTAAAATCCCACCTTCTACTTGAAGCCTTTCCCAATCACTCTTCATTCTAGGGCCTTCCTTCTGTGGATTACTTCCTATCTATCCTATATAGAGTTTGCTGGTGCATGTTTGTTTGCTTGTTGTCTCCCCAATTAGTTTGTAAGCTCCTTGAGGATAGGGGCTGCCTTTTACCTTTCTTTGTATCTCCAATGCTTAGCACACAGTCTGGAAAATAGTAAGGGTTTAAAAGAAATGTTTTACTGACAGACTTACTGATTGCATCAATGGAAAAAAGTAGTCAGAAATCAGAGATTCTTGAAATAGTCATCTAACATTTGTTTGAAGATTTCCAACAAGGGGGGAAACCATCACCTCCTAATGCAGCCCATTCACTCCACTTTTGGACAGCTCTAATTGTTAGGCAGTTTTTCCTGACATGAAGCCTTGATTTGCTTTTTGGAACTTCTACCCCTTGTTTCTGGTTCTTCAATCTGGGGCCAAAAGAACAATCTCATCTCTTCCACATGAGAGTCCTCAAGTCTTCTCTTCTCCAGGGTAAATATTTTCTCAATCAATACTCCTATGACAGGGACTCAAGGCCCTTCACCACTCTGGCTGCCTTCCTCTCCAGATTTTCAGTGTCCATCCATTCTATCCTCTTCTCTCTAATCACACCACAACTATCCTAATCAGGCCTTCATCACCTCCTGTCCATATCACTATAGCTTCCTGATGGGTCTCCCTGCCTTCATTCTCTCCCCAGTCTAATCCATCATCTATAACGCTGCCAAATCAATATCTCTAACGTGCAGGTTTGGTCATGTCATTCCCTGCTTGAAAAATTTTAATGTCTCTCCAATGCATCTAGGATATTTGGAGCCCTTCACAATCTGGTTCTGGCCTATTTTTCCAGCCTTGTTTCACACTATTCTCCCCAACCACTGTAGATATCATCCACACTACTCTACTTGCTGTTCCTCCATACAAGCCATTCCATCTGGCATCCTGTCTTTACCCTATGCCTGGAATGATTTCCTTCTTCAAGTGCACTTCTTGGAATCCCTAGCTCTCTTCTAGACTTGGGTCAAGTGCTACTCCTTCAAGAGGTTTATTTTTTTCCTGATCTCCACAGATGTTAGTGACATACCGTCTTCCCCACAATGTATTTATTTTTGTATTTACTTATCTGTGCTCATGGAGTATCCTCCCAGTAGACTGCAAGCTCCTTAAAGGCAAAGACTCTCTCACTTCTCTCTCTCTGTCTAGTCCAGGTCCTAGCACAGTACCAGCCCTTCCGAACAATTAGATGTTTTAATGACCTGCTTGTTGATTGGAATTTTTTTTTTAAGGAAGGTGGGGTCTACCTTTGTGACTTCATGCCCAGGGATGGGAACATCCTCCCTGACTTGGACCAGCAGCTAACTGCTGTAAATTCATGCTCTGGGTATCAGGAGCCTTGTCCACACTGGTGACAGTATCAGGTCTTCCTGCCTCCAAAGTGACCTCGCCCTAAGGCTAAGCCCACATAAAAGGGTTTCATAAAGGTGGGTTGAATTGAATAAAACAGATTAAGAGGGAGGTCCCGGGGCCCGGTCCAGCTGCCCTTCCCTCCACCTCCAGAACCTCTCCTTCCTCTTTCATTTCCCACCCCCTCCCTCACTCTTTTCACTTCCTCCACTCCCCCACCCCCACTTTTTTTTCACGCCCTGATTCTTCCCCCTCTGCGGCCTGGCCTCCCTCCCGGACTAGGGCTCGAGAGCGTGCTCGCGCAGCTCTCCCTCCACCAGGGTTCAAATCCCCGCCGCGTCACGCGTGGAGCTGCGGAGGCGCGAGTGGGTGCGCGCGGCTCCGTCCTCTGGGGGCTCAGAGCAGGTCCGAGGCAGATGAGACCTGGCTTGGTGACACCGCGCGAGGGCTCGCCGCGTCCGATTGGCGCACGTCGAGACAGAGAATGAGGAGAGAAAGGGAAGGCGGCCTCTAAGAGGGAAGCCCCTCAGTGCCCAGCGGGAAGGCTGACTCGGGCGCCCACTCTGCTCCAGACCCGCTCCGTTACCTCCGCTCCGCCGGCAGTCCCCGGCTGCCGCTCCGCAGCTCGCCCTGACACCCTCGAAAGCGAATCTTCCCGGATACTTCCCGCCTCCCGCCCCCAGCGCTTCCCTCAGCCAATCCGAGACGAGAATTGACAATAGCCAATTGTCGGGTGGGTGTCCGAAGTTGGTCAACCAATGGCAGCGCGGAGATTGGGGGGCTGGCCTCATAGAGCCAATCGCTGCGAGATGAAACGTGCTGCCCGCAAACCAAACGCAACGAATGGATGAAGAGAAGGCCGACCCTCGGCAGCCAATCTTGGTCGGGCAAAGAGGAAAATGTCTTCGATTTTGATCAAAGAAATCAATACTTGCGGGTGGCTTCCGTTTCTTTGGAAACCAGGTGACTCACCTTAAGGCGCTTGAGCAAAGATAAGTTTGGCTAGGTCAGCCTGGGCGACTCTGACCGCTCTACGGTGGCTGGCGATAACCAAGAAGGTCAGAGGATGCTCAACCCTGTTTGCGACAATGCGTCATCCCAGCGTGGTTAAGACTCCTCTGAGAAAAGACTCAGAGGTGGAGGCCACGGGTATTGGAAGAACTCCAAACGCTCCCCTGCCCCTATCCTTCAGAAGCAAGTTCCTCGTAAACAGCGGTAAGCAGCGCCAAGGATCCAAACCCACCAAGCTGCTTTCCTTTTGAGCCTGTTTACTGACCTACAGCTGATTACGTTAGCATTTTTAAAGTCCTAGTAATTTCAAGTACATTTTTCTCTCAGAAATCCAGTTTACTTGGCTTTTTACTACGTTCAGCACGAAAATATAAGTTCTGAAAACAATCTTCCTGAGCTCTCTGAAATTAGTTCTTTCTCCCAATTCGTAGCTGCATTACTTTTCTCCTGTATAGATCTCGTCAAAATTGGGTTTGGCTTATACTTCGTGTCCCTCGTACTCAAAATGAATATTTAATTCTAGTGCCTTCCCTCTTTTAATTATTTCCTATTTATCCTGTATACAGCGTTTGTATGTATTGTTTGTTATCTTCCCCATTTGCTTGTGAGCTCCTTGAGGGTACGGCCTGTCTTTTGCCTCATTCTGTATTTCCAGCACTTAATACAGTGCCTAGCACATAGTAGGTACTTAAAAAATTCTTACCGATTGACTAGCTGACATTAAATAAAAGTTAGAAGATATACTAGAAAGTGCAGTTCTTGGTTCAAAAGTAATTTGAAATAATGCACAAAAGAAATTCAAGTCCATTTGATACCAAGAGTACGAATGTTTATAAACATATTCAAAAGTTGCACACATTTTCCTTAAATCAAAAATATTATATTGCATCGTGACAAATTTTACTTTAACATAAAATACATGAATAATAAAATTTTCTAATGTATTTACATCTTTTATTTACAGATCAACAAATATGTAACAGCAAGTTCTGACTAGTAGTCTCTGAAAAAAAAAATAGACTGGAATGTGTATTGTTCATTTAGTTAGAAAATATACTTCAACCTTTTCTGAACTCCAAGGAAAAAGACAGCCTTATGCACCTAAACTATTCCAAGGCTGAAGTTTTTAAAAGAAAGCAGCAACAGTTGTTTCTTTATGGGAATATAAAACTGGTTGAATTAAAAATATGAAAATTCCTGCAATGGTATTAAGTTTCATTTTACCCTAGGATTGTTAACCAAAAGCTACATATAAGAAAAGTTATAAATATATTATGAAATGTGATACTGTACACTTACTGGATCTTAAAAAAAATTCTTATTTGACTCTCCTAAAGAGGTGAGGACCATATAATCCCATTTTACAAAGGAAAGAAATGGGATATAGCTATACACCAAGAGGAAACTTAAATTCCTTTACTGCAATGTGATATTTTCTTATCACTCTATTTACTTTCATGTACAAGCAGAGTTCAGAGTGCAAGAATTTATCATCTATGTGCACCAAAGAAACCAAAGAAAAATATATCTAGTTTGGACACTGAATTCTTCAGCATACAAAATGAAGATGAAGGGCCCTGACTTCACATAATAATATCTAATTTAAAGGAAAGCTACCCACATAGGACTACAATATGACTTACTATGATGACATTGCCCACCACCCAATTTCCTGAGGATCACAATTATTATGAGTCCATGCACACATATGTGCACACATGTGCGCATGTGCACAAACACAAGTTTTTTTGCCAAAGACTTCCTGAAATGCAGAATTCTCAATGACAAACCAAGAGATCACTAACTCAATGGGTTTTATTGCTGTAATTTTTGTTTAATTAGATATCTTTGAACTTTACCCCTCTAAACATTAGATAAGTTAATTAACATTATAAAAATAAACATTTTTTAAAAACTAACTTAGACCTCTCAGGATCTGCTTTGTAGACCTTTCAGGATCTGCTTTGCAAAAAGGTGTTTCTGTAAACACTTTTAAACCAGTATCATAAAATTCCAAATTATTCAAGTACCTCTGATATATGGCTTCACATAAGAGCAATAATTGAAGCATATATGTAGAATTTTTAAAGTCCTCATCTGCAATTCCATGAAAATCATTTAGAAAAGCATTTTTGCCTTTCTTAGTCTTCTTAACACTAATCCTTGAGAATGAGAATTCATCTTGCATTATTTGTATTGCAAGTCCTTGAGGTTTCTATCTGGGTATCTAACCCCTGATTTTCCCTGAATTCTCCCTTCCTTTGATTCTTCTTTCTCTCGCATCACTGCAGCACTCAGTCCCAAGCTGAAAGCCTAAATGAACATTAAGGCTACTTACAGACTTCAAAGAAAATTAAAAGCATAGTATATGCTTTTCTTACTTCAGAAGCTAAACATGATGCTGAAATCACTGGAAAAAGCTGAATTAACAACTGCTACTAGACAAACATATCAGCAAACTAGATCCATATACTTTCATCCAAAAACAGGCAAGATAAAAAGCATAATTCTCAGCATGGTCAAGTTTGAGTTCAATTGTATGTTGTCTTTTTTTGTGATTCCCAGACACTACTGTTTTCATTCAATATAACAGTTGTTATCAAATGCAGAATCATGGTGGGTTTATGCTGCACACAGCTTCAATTTCATTCATTTCTTTTTTAAACTCCACTAACACTCATGTTTATTATTTCAATTATTGTGCTTTCAATACACTGGCATAGCTGCACATCAGGATCCATGCTTCCTATATCCCTGGCTCCATTTTCATAAGCTAGGTCTTTGCATATTCCAGACCATCCACTTCGTTTCTCTTTCAGTTGCTGAAGACCTAAAAGTAAAATGAGAAGAAACCAAAATTAAGACAAAGAAGCAGGTCTTGTGTTCAAAGAATCACAGAACTTCAAGAGTTGGGAAAAAATTCAGCTGTTATTCTAAGCTATACCAAAAAATAATCCCCTCTACCACATAACTGGTCTTTGTTTAAAGACCTCAAGACTCTCTCTCTCTCAATCTCTGTGTGTGTGTGTGTGTGTGTGTAAGAACATTTTAAGAGACCTAGAAAATTACTTACGTGTAATAATTGGATCTATATCTCTCGTCTGCGTAGCAACATCAGAGGCACAAACTTGTCCTATCTGGATCAACAAAGACATAATGTCCTCATACAGTGGTGGAAATGCTTGACAAAAAGACACCAAACTCGGCAGGGTTGCCATGAAAAAAGCATAGCGCTTTTTCTGAGTTAAAACTGTTGAAAGAAAATAAAGCAGATTTGAAGAGATGCAAATGTGAATACTAATATCCAAACCACAGCTTTAAGTATCTCATAATTCACGTGTTTAAAATGTTTGCCTTAAAGAAGAATGGAAAAAATACACCACTCTGTCCCTGAAAAGGTAGAAGACCACTAGTACTGAATACTGCATATAATTTCAGATAATATTATGTTGTTTGGTTTTGTTAAAGTGTTTTATTTACTCTCCCTTTTTTCACCTTTGTTACCAAGAAATGCTTGCTAGGCAAGGAAAAGAAGGAGGGATACATTCAGAAGTGAAGGTGATATAAAAAACAAAAATGTGTTTTATCATTTTAATTTACAAATTAAAAGTTAGTAATGGTACAATACAACATTCCATGAAATCTATGGATGCATTTAATATACTTTTAACCTTTAATTTTGCATGTGATATTTTATTGGAATTTCTCTACAGAAAGTGGCATGAATTAAAGATAAGACATTAGCTATTATTTTTAAGTTCTTGGTTTCTACTGATATTCATATATTATAAGAGCTACAGATAATTATATATGGAAGGTAAGTTAGCCATTAGCCTCACTTAAAAATATGACAAGTTTTTTTTAAGTCACTGTAAATCCATCATTTCTATGATAGACAAGATAATTATACAATGACTTAAATTATTTTATGTATAAGCAATCATCAATAAAAGAAATTAATCCACACATTACAAGGTATACTGTGATGGCTTATCAGCTCAACAACTTTAAACTAACCATAAATCACATATAGGATGGTGTGGTAGAAAAAGCACTAAAATCAAGATTTTGATACAAATTCCTGGCTCTGACAATATCCTGGATAAAATCATTTCACTTCTCTGAGTCTTAGTTTCTTCACCTGTAAAGTAGGATATTATTAATCAAAGGGTTATTGTGAACAAAATGTTATGTAAACATACTATATGTGTTTTTATTATTTTAGGATTATGTATCTATCATTTAAAAATATGTAAAATGATGAATTTGTAACAATTACAACAACTCAAGTCATCTTACTAAAATTATTGAAATTTAGAAATCAAACTGCCTCTTGGTAGTCCAGTAACATACCTGTCAGCATTGTTCCCATGACATTGATAGCTAACCGAGCCACACTCAGTGATTTTGGTAATGCATACTGGATACATAAGTAAGAAAGCAACTGGATAGCAAATACCTGAAAAGCAAAAGTGAAAGGTTAAAATGTCTCAAAGGTATTCTGTCAACAAATATGCACTGTTAAAAAAATGAAGATCACCTCTGTCCTCAAGGATTTTATTATAATCTAGCAAAGGAGAGAGCTCTAAGGCAGATGTGTTTTGTCTTATTTGTGTTCAAGTGCAAGCGATGTAAACAAATAAGACATTCAGAAAACGAACACAGGATCTATAGTACGGAGTGCTTAAACCTTGCTTGTATCATGAACGCTTTGGCAGAGTGGGGGAGCCCATGCAGCATCCCGTTCAAAATATCCAACAGGCAGCTCATGATGCAAGACTGGAACTGAACAAA